TTTTATATATCTGGGGATTGTTGGCCAGGACACCAGGACAAACTCCCTCTCTTTTCAAATAGTGCCATGGAAACTTTAACATTCAATTGAACAGGCATATGGCACAGTTTTCCTCTAATTTTCTCCCCTTGTATCTCCCCACTGAGGGTAGTGATTTGTGATGGCGAATGGTTTCTTAGATTATAGTGCACTCTAGTACCTTGCTCAAGTATCCATTCTTCCCATGTGCCCTTGACAGCAAGTGTTGACAAATGTTTTACTCATTAATTTTCTTTGCATTATCAAAGGGGCATCACCTTAAAATAAGATTTAAGATAGTTAAAACTAAGATCAAGTAGCATTTATTAATACAGAGGGCCGTGAAAGATGTGAAATGCTCTGTCCCACAAAGTTGTAGAGGCAGAATCAATAGGCAAGTTTAAAAGAGAGAGTAGATACTTGGTCAGTGAACAGTATGGTCAATGGGTGGGATGAAAAGATTTGCCAAAATCTAATAACCTGGTGGAACTGGCTGAATTGGTTAAATTGCCTCCTCTTATCAAGATGAGAGGGAATGCTACACTTATCTACTCTGTTTAATATTGTGCTTATTACAGAGTATTCCATCATTGTCCTTTTGTGTGCAGAATAGGAACGTTTCAATTGCATCAGCTGTGAGGCTTTGTGACAAGTCTTCATGATTCAAGGACTCTCAGAGTAGGTACAGTGGTACCTGATACTGTTTACTGCCCAACAACAGGCTGTCAAGCTTGAAATTGGACAAGCCAAGTCTAGAAGTAATAAAGGCATGGATTAGAATTTTCTGCTGCATTGGGATGAGGTAGTGATGGAGGCAGGTTGTCGTGGAAATGGAAGAAAGTGGAGTTGGTCAGGAACTGTATTAAACAGAGGTGAAGGTTGAATGCCACACTGAGATTTTGTTCTGGCTCTTAGAACTAGAGTCAGCAGCCATGGAGCACCTGATCCGAGGAGGCGTGAGAGGGAGTTGAGAAAAATAGCTTAACTTTTAAAACAACAAAACTTTTAAAAGTGGAGTCCGACAATGAGCCAGGGGGAGAGGAAGTGGGGAGGTGACCGTAAGCACGATTGAAAAGGTAGGGCTTTAGATGGGATTTGAAGGAAGGGAGGGAGTGGACAAGACAAAGGGATTGAGAGAGAGAGAAATAATAAGCAATCCAAGAAATTGATGGTCCAATGGATTCATCTCTGAATCTATTCACCTCTGGAATGTGGCCTCACATCCAGCCAAGACTGATAATGACTTCAAGAAACAATGGAAAATTAGGTTTGCCAATTTCAATCCAATACCAAGTGCCCATGATGGAAAACTAATTATAGGATTACTAACATTGGCTAAATCTGCTACTCTAGTAATAAAGGCTGAAAAAGAAAAATGATGGCTAAGAAATAACTGGGGTGAAAAATGCAACTTTTCGTAACAGATTTGATTTGGCCATATCGGAAATGTTTTGGAACATTGCAATTTTCACCTGATTATCGCAATGTATAAATTCTGGATCACTTGCTGATTTAGCCAGAGTCACTATCTTTCTTTTTATTGCCTTGTTTATACTGGCAGAAAATTATGTGGCATTGTTTCCAGCAAAGCAGCAATTCAGGGAAGGAAATCTGATTTATAATTCCTGCGCTGAATAGCTCAAGCTCCAGGAGGTGAGGCAAGCTCTGCACTACCAAAACACCTCAACTATTCAGTGCTAGGTTTTAATATTTATAATAAAAAAACCTTGCATTTGATATTGAGCCTTATCGCATTGAAATGTCTCAAAGCACTTCATAGTTTTTCTATAAAGTGTTGTAACTGTGATTTGTACGCAGGTGTGACAGCCAATTTGCACCCCAATGTCCCACAAGCAGGTAGAATGACTACATATAGCTGGGGAATTGATGTCCAGCTCCTTTCTCTTTTGAATAGTGGCATCAGATCTTTAGCCCAAAGAGGCAAACAGGGACCTTGGTTTAACATCTGATCCAAATGACAGCACCTCCAATAATGCGGCACTCCCCCAGCACTGCATTAGAGTGTCTCCTGAGACTATGACTTCAGAATTCCAATGTGGCCTCACAGCCAATTGACTGAGAAACAACAATACTACCAATAAAACAAGGCTGGAGTTTTAAGTTAAGTTTAAGTTTTGCCCACAAATATACAGTCAATTCACTTTAGAGTATATTCTGTGAAATGCTTTGAAATGTCTCGAAGACGTGATAAGGAGCTATATCAAATGCAAGGATTATTATTATTATAAAAATAATCTCCAGAACAAATTGCTTTGCAAACAGGATTAGGATCACTATCAAAACATTTTACACTTTATATTTCAAACCCAACTTAATAATAAAAATAATAATGATCCTTGCATTCGAAATAGCACCTTTTCACGTCTTCGAGGCATCTCAAAGCGCTTCAAAGAATATATTGTAAAGTGAATTGACTATGTTTTATGGGCGAAACAAGGTAGCTAATTGCACACAGCAGGGTCCCACAAACAGTCGTGGATTGAAGTGATCAATTATTATTATTTTTTATTATCCCCAGAAACCCGATCTATCAATCGACTAACAACCAGGTTCCTACTTGCTGCTAGGTAAACAGAGGGGTGTGGAATAAGGAAACTTGCCCAACCTTTTATCCTGCCAGGAACTGAACCCAGGTCTCTCGCTTGGGAGGTGAGCGCTCTAACCACTGAGCTACAGGACTTCACAAACGCTTGTCCATGCTTTCGTCACCTCCCGCTTCAACTATTTCAAAGTCCTCCTCGCCGGTCTCCCCAGCTCCACTATTCCCAAAATCCAACTAATTCAAAACTCCTCCGCCCATATACTCAGCTGCTTTAAACTCCGGTCCCCCATCACACGAGTCCTCGCCAGACTCCACTGGCTCCCTATCACAGAATGGATTGACTTCAAAATCCTCAAACTCATCTATAAATTCCTTCACACCCTTGCACCTCCCTATCTCTCTAACCTGATTAATCCCCACTTCACCATCCGTCGCCTCCGCTCGCTGGCTCCAGCGTCCTGCTTATCCCTTCATCATCAACAGCTATGCTTTCAGTTCACTACACTCAGAAACTTTGGAACTCTCTTCTTCAATCCCCCCACGTTGCCTCCTCCTCCATTTTCAGATCTCTCCTGAAAACTTTCCTCTTCAACCGTGGTTATGGTTACCTCCCCTCTCCTCCCGGCTCGACATCAGGTTTCACCACTGTTTAAATGCTCCGAGATGCTACCCTGTATACAGGGCGTTATATAAGTGCACGTTCTTTTTATCGTTTAAAAAATGAAAGTTACAAATATGTTATCTTTTGTTTTGCCCATCTTAACATTTCCACCACAAAGAATTTTGGTATATGTTGTTAGATCTACTGTATTTGCCAGAGTATCACATTGGTCAAATCCAGTCCTCACCAGACGTATATATACCACAATGTCAATGTTTTGAACACTATGTTATCAACAACAACAACAACAAAATTAAATTTATAGAGCGCCTTTCATGTCGGGAGGACGTGAAAACTCAAAAAACAAAACTCAAACCCCTCTGCTATGATGTCCTCTAATACTTGCTGTGTGAGATATTTTACTGACTTAATATATTCTTTAGTTAAACACAGTAAAGTTCTTAATAAACTACTAAAATCATATAAGATTAACGTATTGAATTAATATGGTGCTTCTTGCAATCCCACTTGACTGCATATTATTTTCAAATACACATTCAACATACATTCAAAGCCTGAAGTGAACAAAAACTACCAAACAGTTGTATTCTTTTGTTTCTAGACTTAACTGCCACACCCACCAGCATATACAGTAACAATTTTCTTTATATATACCAACACTAGTTTAATTCCAAAACTTGCCAATTTATTTCACAACAAATAAATGTTGTTTACACAGAAGTGAACAGCAGGACAAACACACAAACTGTTCTGACATTATATCAACAAAATGAACTTATCACTTCAATTTCATTACATTGTTTTAATATGAGGACCTCCCCAGTGGATTATGTTACTGGAAACATGATTATAATTGTGAATAAACAAAGCTAGGCTGACTGAAGGTTTGACCAATCGATCAAATAAAGAAGGGAGCCCAGACTTGGTTAACTCCAAAAAACTAAGCTGCGAATGGAAAACAAAATTACTACAGAATCACTGCTGCAGGATAAACCAGTAATCATTGGTTTCACATGAAACTGCAAAAAATTGCCTGCAAGGAAATTTCAATGTAAGTACAGCATTACGAAGGTCACATCAGCAGCGAATAAAATCTCCTGAATTCTAAAAATAGCTTTCGTAAGAAACAGAAAATAAGAAGCATTTGAACCTTAAATTTCTAGCATTGTATTATATTCAGGGTTATTGTCACATTTATCTTCCTGCAGATCCTTTAGAAATTAGAAGTTTACAACACAGAAGTGCAATCACATTCAATATAATAGTAAATATTATGTATAATATGTATAGTAAAAGTATGTATTTCCCCTCTTCCACAATTACATTGTTGAATTTTAAGACATTTTCTGTTCACATAACAACTTTGAAACAATTTTTTGGTGATTTCTATTCAATTGTACCTATTTTTTGGCACTGTTAACCTTTGATCAAATTTTCGGTGGAGGGGGAGGGGACAGATTCATCTTTAATGTCACCCAACAACACCAAAATTACATTTATAGAGCTTCTTTCACGGCCAAAGGACGTCCCAAGGCGTTGGACAATCAGGGGTCAGGACCCGAGCATGGGGGAGGGGTGTGGTTAGGGGAGGGAAGGCAGAGAGGTGGGAGGGCGACTAAAGGCACGATCGAAGAGGAGGGTCTTGAGACTGGCCTTGAAGGAGGCAAGGGAGGAAGCGAGGCAAAGGGACTGTGGGATGGAGTTCCAGAGTGTGGGGGAACAGAGGCTGAAAGCCCGGCCACCGATGGTAGGGCGGGTCGGGTGGGAGACATGGAGCAGACCGGAGCCCGCTGAACGGAGGGAGCGGGCAGGTTGGTAGGGAGTCAGCAGGTCTACAATCAACAGGCTACAATAATGAAGGTAGAAAAGTATTTAAATTTTGCTGGAGATTTTTAACTAGATTTGACATTTTCTTTGCCTGTGAATTAATGTAATAGCATAATTTTGCTGGATCACGTAATAATAGACAGTTAGCCTACATTTGTGTTGGACTCTTATTTTTAGTGAGCTTCCATTAGCTTGCCTCTAAAATAATGATTATTTTACTTTTTCTTTTAACCTATTTACATTATTGAATTGTTTTGTAAAGTAAATTTCAAGATCAGACCTCCATTTCGGTTGATATGGCTGGGAAGCTATTTTGAGTTGTCACCTTGGCTTAGTTGAAACACTCACATCTGGAACAAAAGGTTATGGTTCAAGTAGTTTCAGCTAACAATCCAACATGCTGCAACAACTGAGGTGCCATCCTGCACACATGCCAATAACAGGAGACCTGAGCTGCCTTTTCAGATAGATGTTAAAGATCCTATATCACCATTCAAAAAGGGGAGTTTCTCCCAGTGTCCTGGACAAAAATCCCCCGATAAACTGGTCATTCACTTCATGGCTGCTTTGCGACTTTGCTGTGTGCTTCTTTGGCTGCCGCATTCGTCTACAAATATAAAGTTACTACAATTAATTGCAATTATCAGTAAAGTGCTTTCTAACATTTGAATGTTATAAGCACTCTTCTGTTTTAGAGAACCACGTTTTGCAAGGTCCCCAGAACAGCTCTGAAGTGAATGACCAACTTAGCTGGAGAATTGTTAGCCAGGACACCAGGAGAAAATCCTTTCTCTTTTGAAACAGAGTCATAGGACAATTTAATGTCCACCAGAACAGGCAGATGCGACTTTGTACTCTCATTCAAAAGTCAGCACTTCTGACAATGCAGCATCACATAGAGTGTGAGCATTGACTGTGAGTTGAAGTCCTGAGCCGGTCTTGATCCTATGACCTCCTGACCCAGAGGTAAAAATGCAAGCAACTGAGTCAAAATGACAACTAATAAAGGGGTCAATAACGATTGCTTTGGAGGGTAAAATAAAAACTAAAAACCATTCCAACATCCATGGCGTCAAGCAACAACCAAGTTCAATTATTTCATACTGTATTAAAGCAAGTATTCCGCTTTGTACTTTTGTGGCATATCATACAGTATTTTGATTGAATATCACAAAATTTCATTTAACTAATGCACCCATCAACTTTTAGCCTTTATAACAGAAGTAAACGTGAAACATTTAGACTCTTATTGGGAAAAATGATTCATAATTAGACTTAAAATGAATCCGGGAAATCAAAGAAACACAAATGATTTAAAAAAAAAGTGAATTCAGTAACGAGTAGAAGGTATTTGTATACAGATCTAAAGATGTTTATTTATCTTTGTTTGTTACAATAAATTGCTACATGTTGCCAACCTTTGCAGCCTGGGATAATTAAGGGTGGAATATCTCCTGGATGATGTAAGAATGTTTTTTGTGAGTGCTCTGGGTTTAAAGTTAAATACAACTATGTTCCTCTTCCCCGGACCAGGGTATAGTATTTAACACTGTGACTTTGGCTGTTTTGAGGAAATGTCAAATCTGGTGCATCTTCAACAGATCTCAAAGGAGACCTTTAAAATCCTGTACTATCAATATCAATCTCTCTCTCTCTCTCTCTCTCTGTGTCACCCCCAACCCCAACACACAAACAACATTCCATACACATCGATAAATGTTTTGATAACATCAGACGTTTTGATGTGACGCTCTCACACCGAGATTTGCTGTGTGTTGAGTCAGTATTTAAGATGACCCACGAGCTCCACTCACCTCCTTGTGCGGTCCGTTGTCCACATTCATTCTAATTTTACTGGAGAAAAGTTTACACTGGATCCAAAGTATACCTTCACTCCGGCCTCGCTTAGTTACTCCCTCACACGCCGACAAAGACCAACCATTTTTCGTGGGCATGTGTCTTACACTGTGCCCAGTGCTCCTCTACCTTCTAACAGTCTGGCTACACCTTTAATCCTGGGAATTCAGATTTCCTTCAAACAGAAGTTCTGTATCTTCAGCCTTCTCCTCCCACTTCGAACCAGCCCTTCAGGTCCTAGTGTCCCTCTGGTTGCTTTGCTATGTTTGCTGGATGTATCCAGCATAACACTTCATTGGGTCATTCCTAAATAATAATAATAATAATAATAATAATCCTTGCATTTGATATAGCGCTTTTCACGTCGGGAGGACGTCCCAAAGCGCTTCACAGAATATACTGTAAAGTGAATTGACTGTATATTTGTGGGCGAACGCGGCAGCCAATTGCGCACAGCAATGTCCCACAAACAGTCGTAGATTGAAAATGACCAATTTATTATTGTTTGGGGTTTTGGAGGGATTATTATTAGGTGTGTGGAGTAAGGAAACTTGCCCAAGGTTTCGCCCTGCCTGGAATTGAACCCAGGTGTCTTGCTTGCAAAGCAAGTGCTCTAACCACTGAGCTACAGGACTCCAATGGAAAATCTCACATTAAATTTAACCCCAAGAAATTTTAATACTTTTTACCGGAGTGGAAAATGTCTTTTTTTTATATATATAGATCAATTATCTCAACAACAGCAACTTGCATTTATACGGCGCCTTTCAAACCGGGTAGCGGCCTGGAGCGCTTCACAGTGACGGAGTCTGACAGTGAGCCAGGGGCAGAACGAGGGGGAAGGTGACCGTAACCACGATCAAAAAGGAAGGTCTTTAGGTGTGGAGGGAGGGAGGGAGCAAGGCGGAAGGATTTAGGGAGAGAGCTTCCAGTATTTTGGGGCACAGTGGCTGAAGGCACGGCCACCAATGGTAGAATGGGGGCACGAGCGACAAATAGGAGGCCAGAGCCAGCCGAGCGGAGGTGGTGGAGTGGGGGATAAGCAGGTCGGATAGGTAGGAAGGTGCGAGGGAATTAAGTGATTTGTAAACGAGTGAGACGATCTTGAAATCGATCTGTTCGGTGATTGGGAGCCAGTGGATCCTGGCAAGGACTGGTGTGATGGGGGTACAGAATTTTGTGCGGGTGAGTATCCGGGCAGTGGAGTTTTTAATTAATTGGATTTTGTGTACGTTGGAACTGAGGAGACCATCGAGGGCATTGGAATAGTCCAACCGGGAAGTGACAAAGGCGTGGATGAGGTGTTCAGCTGCTTCCGTTGTGAAGTGTGGTCGGAGGCGGGCAATGTGACGGAAGTAGAAAAAAGCGGTCCTGGTCAGGAAGCAGATGTGTGGTAGAATGGAAAGCTGGGGATTGACATTCCGTTGTGCACCTAAGTTGTGCATGGGTTTGAAGAGTCTGAAGGAGAGACTGGGGAGGTTGAGGAGATCAGACCCGCAGGAGAGAAGACGTTGATGGGAGACAAAGAGTATAGCTTCCATCTTGCCGATATTCAGCTGCAGGAAATTTGTGCTCATCTAAGCCTTGATGTCCGTCAAACAAGTTGATAAGACATCAGCAGACTGGGAGTTGCACCTGGAGGTGGAGAAGTAGATTTGGGTGTCATTCGCATACGTGTGGAAGTTGATCCCATATCTGCGTATGATATTGGTGAGAGGGAGCATGTAGATGAGGAAAAGAAGAGTGCCAAGGATGGAGCCCTGGGTACCCTGGCTGAGATGAAGTTCTGGCAGTTAAGTAGGACTCGAATCATGTGAGTGCAGTCCCACTAAGGTGGATGAGGGAGGAAAAGTGGTGGAGGAAGATGGCTTGATCGACTGTGTTGACCACAACTTGGCCAGATTATTTTAAAGCAACGAAGCACCTTTGTTTTTGACAGAGAAATTTTCAGCACAGAAGGAAGCCACTTGGCCCATCAAATCTTGTGCCATTGCTATCTCAGGTTTTTAAATCACCTTTTTTAATATTCCCACTTTCCTACTTTTTTCCAATATCCTTTAATATTTTTATTTCTCAGGTTCTCTTCTGAATGATTGTATTGATCCATTCCCTCAGCCACTTATGATATTGAATCCCACACCTTAACAACCTTCTAAATGAATAAATTCCTTGAAACCTCTCCCCTGATGCTTCTGCTAACAATCCAGGAACTTTACCCTATTACAGTCTAAGTAATATTGATAGTTTGTATTGTAACAAACAGTATTAAATGTTAAGAAAGGCACAAAACCAACTTCCAAATCAAGACTGAATTAAAGAATCTACCACAATTTTACCCGATTTGAAATTTAAGATAAGATGGTTTACAGGTTAAGACAAGGTAATGTTCAGGCCTCAGGCACCCATTAATCACCATGATGCCACATGTTATGCTCACTAGGCATGCTTTATGAACTATCTCAATCAACGTGTTAAAATTATCAAGTGTTTTAGTAATACTTAACTGTAATGCTTAAAGCCAAATGATCAATTTGTATCAAAATTATCTAAACATTTTAATTTTTATTTTAATGCTGTGTGTAAATTACCTGCTGCATTCGCCTACAAAATGGTTGTGCTGTACAGAAAATTCTGTGAAGCATATCTTCCTCGCATGAAAAGTGCTCTATCAAATTCAAGGATTAGGATTATTATTAAAGTACGCTTCTGAGACCAGAAATATCATACAGAGCATATCCAGATGAAACAGATTACACCTAAACAATCACAGATTGAACATCCAATAGATCAAAGGTTTAAATGGATGAATGTGACATAAGGGGAATAGAACATTTAAAATAATCAGAAAGACAACAAATAGCTCCAACCTTTTCCCATATCGATTCCACTGGGTTTGTGACATCAACATAGAGTATATTCCAAGTTTATACTTATCTTCAGTCTTTTTAGCATTGGTTTATTGCAGTTTGCAATGACAACACAATGGATTTAATGGATGTAATGCAATCTGCAAAGTACATTTATAAACACGGCACAATATCCAGGTGATACATTGCTTACCGATTAGTAGGTCAAGTCATCAAAACAGAATTCTATTGCTTGAGTTATATGCCTTTCGAGGGTGATTATGCTGTAAAAGAGACTTCCATTAGGGAGGAGGGGAATGCTTTGAGTTTCTGCTCTATGACTGACCACCTTTCTGAGCCATATTTCTCTATAAAGGGGTTGAATTGCCTGAAATGTCATAAATTTGTCAGAGTCCATTTGCAACACTTTCTATTGGGGCAATAAATCCAGATACAACAACAACAATTTGCATTTATATTATGCCCTTCACATGGGGTAGTGTCTTGGAGATCTTAACAGTGGTGAAGCTTGATACAGTTTTGATGCCTATATGTTTCGACAGAGTATGAAGGCTCAACCACACTTGTTGGATGTCAAATAACCAACTAATGACAACAACAACTTGTACTTATATAGCGCCCTCCATGCAGGGTAGCATTTCAGAGCACTTAACAATGGCGGAGCCTGACTCCGAGTCGGGGCAGGAGATGACCGTAAGCACGTAACCATCCGAAAAGGATGGTTTTCAGGCAGGACTTGAAAAAAGGAGAGAGGGGACAAGGCAGAGGGATTGAGGGAGAGTTTTCCAGAGTTTCGTAGAAGAGTGGCTGAATGTGTGACTGCCAATGGTGGAGTGGAGGGTGTGAGGGATAAGCAGGAGGTTGGCACCAGTCGAGCGGAAGCGCCGGGTGGTAGGTTGGGGAGTGAGGAGGTCGGAGAGGTAGGGAGGTGCCTGTGAGTCGATCCATTCGGTGATGGGGAACCAGTGGAGCCTGGCCAGAGCCGGTGAGATGTGGGTAAGGAGTTTGGTCCAGGTCAGTATGTGGGCGGCAGAGTTCTGAATGAGCTGGCTTTTTTGAAAAGTGGAGCTGGGGAGATTAGTGAGGAGTGCATTTGAGTAATCCAGGTGAGAGATGACAAACGCCTGCATGAGGATTTCGGCTGCATTAGGAGTAATGTGGCGGAGGTGGATGAAGGGGTCCTGGTCACGGACTGGATACAGGGAAGGAAGGACAGCTGGGGGTCGAAGCGGGTGCCTAGATTGCGCACTGATTTGTTGAGTCTGAGGGAGAGCCCAGGGAGGATGAGGAGTTCAGATCCGCAGGAGTGAAGATGTTGATGGGAGCCAAGGAGTATGGCTTCCATCTTGTCCACATTGAGCTGCACAAAGTTTGCACTCATCCAGGTCTTGATGTTTGCCTGACAAGCTGATAGAACATCGGCGGACCTGGAGTCGCAGCTGGAGGAGGCAAAGTAGACACAAAGTGTGTCGTCCGCATACATGTGGAAGTTTACCCCGTGTCTGCGGTGACTATCCCTTTGGTGGGGCATGGGGTCTTCTTGGAGCTGAACTAGCTCCAAAGTAGCTTTGTATGGCAATGGAATGTCATAATCTCTGATCTCTGTGATGGTCTTGGTAATCCAGTTCCTGAACCAGGCGGGTCTGCAGTATTCCAGGGCACTACTGATGACAGCTCAGACAGCCTGACTCATCAGCAGGACTTGGAAGAGCAGACCAGTCGCTAGGGGTGGGGATTCTTCCAATTCAGCTCCTGTTAACCCTGCAAGCCAAAGCCCTAACTGGTAGGTGTTTATAGCTAGCCAAGCAGTGGGAAACCTTGCCAGACAATGACATGCTTCAGTTTTAGCTAGTTGGACTCCAGCAGTAACCCAACACACAATCTTGTGTCTCCCCTTGGCTCTGGCCAATCCATGCCTAATACAATCAACCCCCAGCTAACCAAACTGATGGGGGAGATCCTGTCCGGCTAGCTGGAATATCCAGCCAAATGTTAATCCTAATCCTAACAATAAAAAACATTTTAGTTTTAAGATCGTTCAGAACTGTGAAAAATAGTTAAATTGTGAATATTTCCAAAAATGTCTGGGGATGCTGTTGATATCAGGAGACTTTCTGTGCCTACATACCGTATGGAGGAATCCAGCATAATGGATGATGTCTATGAGGATGATGTCTATGAGGATATCCTCAGTTTCATATTCTGTGGGTGTTCATATGTTATATATAAACCCACACAAAACAGAAACAGAATATAGTGGGGTCACATTGTATTTGGATTATGAATGGAAAATTTGTTGATACTAACAATAAATATTCTGTCAAAAACGTATTTATTGACAGTAAATATTTCCTTAAGTTAAGTAATGTTAATATTAAGTAGTTAATATTTACCAATTTTCTCTTTTTTTCTCCCCTCCTCACATGACTGCTATTTCTCCTTTGAATATGCCTCATCTTAACTCATATTAAAATCCATTTGCCATTCCTTTGTTCATTTGTTCATTGGCCCCAGATGTTCATTCACTTCCAGGTCGCTAATTTGTTTTGCTGGATATTATGCTCTATCAATCCGAAATGCTACCCTAAATGAAGGGTGCTATATTAATAACAAGTTGTTGTTGTCCCACTATCCTTAGTTCAGCATATAGGGGTAAATTCTATATTTGGATACCTGGAATGTTCCTGTGCTCCTGGTGTAAACATGTCTTTTTCTCTCTGCCAATTTTTTATCCTCTAATTTTTTCCCCTCCTTTCCTCAAAGTATTTGACAACTTTTCTCTTCCAATGGAGTATGGTTCCAGGGCTCTAATTACCCTCTGGTGCTTCATGCAAATGGTGATAATTAATGTATCTATTTGCTTTGATAGTCTCTACCAGGAAATGTGTGAGGAGCAGTGGGTTTCACAACCAGGTCCTATCCCTTCTAAGGTCAGACAGCTCAGTACAGACCAGGATTCGAAACTATAGCCTGTAACACCTGGTGCTGCTATCAGGTACTGTGTCATCACAGAAGTGTAAGAATATATAGTGTTTGTTAACATCTCAAATACTGCTGCCTGTATCATGATCTCATGGAAGATGGCCCTACCACACCTTTGATCAGATAGAAGATAAGCCGTTACCATCAAGTTCATTGCTGTGCATATGTTTGCATTGAACCAAAGCATATCTGCACTATTTTGTTTCTAGGTTTTATGGAGAATTGAAGATACGAATGATCACAAGCAGAAGTCATCTCTCATGGAGCTGATCCGCCAGGTTTCCAGACATCAATTTTTTTTTTGGTCAGGGAGTGTCTGACACATTCGGAAACCTATCAACAACAACAACAACAACTTGAATTTATATAGCGCCCTCCATGCCGGACGGCGTCTCAGAACGCTTGACAGTAACGGATCCCGGGGCCGAGCCAGGGGAAGGGGGAGGAAGGTGACCAAAGGCGCGGTCGAAAAGAAAGGTCTTCAGCTGAGACCTGAAAATAGGAAGAGAGGGGACGAGGCGAAGGCAGTGAGAAAGGGAGTTCCAGAGCCTCGGGGCATAGTGACTGAAGGCATGGCTGCTGATGGTGGAGCGGAGGATTCGGGGACAAGGAGGAGGCCAGACACAGTTTAGCAAAGGCAACAGGCACTGTGTGAGGAGAGAGGAGGTCAGAGGTAGGGGAGTGCAGAAGATGGGGGGATTTGAAGACAAGGGTGAGGATCTTGAAGTCGATCCTCTCTGGGACAGGCAGCCAGTGCAGTTTGGCAAGGACTGGGGTAATCGGGGAACGGAGTTTGGTGCGGGTAAGAATGCCAGCTCCTGATGTCAGACAGGCAGGCTGACAGAACATCAGGGGACTGGGGGGTCACAAAGTAAGGTGGAAAAATAGAGTTGGGTGTCGTCCACATACATGTGGAAGTGTACCCCATGTCTGCAGATGACATCCCCAAGAGGGAGCATATAGATTAGGAAGATGAGGGGGCAAGGATGGATCCTTGGGGTACCCCGCAGATAACCGGGTGAGAGCGGGAAGTAAAGCCATTTGTGCAGATGTACTGCTGGCGGTTCGTGAGGTAGGACTGAGGTGGAGAATGGAGGAAAGGCAGTGGAGGAGGATGGCGTGATCGACTGTGTCAAAAGCGGTGGAGAGGTCCAAGAGGACAAGGAGGCAGAGGGAGCCCTGGCCTATCCAATGCTTAAGAGTATCCAAACCAAGCTGAGATTTCCATGCATCCCACCTACACATGGAAATCCCAGAGACAGATTGTTGGAATGGTATGCACACTCTCTCCCCGGAGGGATGTATCCTGTTTACCTAATTACAGAAAGTACAACAACAACAACAACAACAACAAGATTACCTTTGTATAGAGCCTTTCACATCGGGAGGATGTCCCAAGGTGCTGGACTGTGTACGGCATTTCAGACCTGAGCTGGGGTCAGGGCAGGGCAGGAGAAGGGAAGGGAGGGGAAAGGGGTGGCCGATCGCATGGTCGAAGAGGATGCTTTTGAGGCGGGACTTGAAGGAGGCTAAGGAGGGGGCGAGGCGGAGTGATTGGGGGATGGCATTCCAGAGGTTGGGGGCAGAGTGGCTGAAGGCTCTCCTGCCAATGGTGGGGCGGGTGGGTCAGGGGACGTGGAGCAGGCCAGAGACGGCTGAGCGGAGGGAGTGGGCGGGTTGGTAGGGGTTTAGGAGGTCACAGAGGAAGGGTGGGGCGAGGCCATGGAGGGCTTTGTAGATGAGGACCAGGATCATGAACTGGATTCTCTGAAGGATAGGGAGCCAGTGGAGTCGGGCGAGAGTGGGGGAGATGGGGGTCACGGAGTTTGGCGCGGGAGAGGACACGGGCTCCAGAGTTCTGGATGATCTGCAACCTGTGGAGGGAGGAGTTGGGAAGGCCGACAAGCAGGGCGTTTGCATAGTTGAGCCTGGAGGTGATAAAGGCATGAACAAGAGTTTCAGCGGCCTGAGGGGTGAGGTAGTGGCAGAGACTGGCGATGTTATGGAGGTGAGGGAAGGCAGAGCAGGTCATGGCTTGAATGTGGGGAAGAAAAGACGTTGAGGGTCGAACAAGAGACCTAGGTTCCTGACTGGCTTGGTGAGTTGTAGTGTGCAACCATGGAGGTTGATGCTGCCAGAGCAGGGGTGCTGTCACGAGCCAATCAGGAGGGCCTCAGTCCTGTTGACATTCAGGACTTGATGTCCGACAGGCAGTCTGTCAGGACAGCAGTGGTCCTGGAGCTGAGGGTGGAGGCAGAAAGATAGAGTTGAGTGTCACCTGCATACATATGGAAGTTGACCCCATGTCTGTGGATGATTGGGGTATTGCTGGAGTCAAACCAACTAAAACAAGGCGAAACCTTAGACAAGTTTCCTTACTCCACATACACACATGCCTCTGTTACGTAACAGTAAGTAGGAACCCGCTTCTTAGTCGATTGGTGGTTTACTTTCCGGTGGTAATAATCCCTTCAAAAAATAGTAATAATAAATTTGGTCACCCAATCCACGACTGTTTGTGGGATGCTGCTGTGCGCAATTGGCTGCCGCGTTTCGCCCACAAAACACAGTCACTACAATTTGCAGGATATTCTGTGAAGCGCTTTGAGACGTCTTGAAGATGTGGTAAGGTGCTGTATCAAATGCAAGGATTATTAAATAATGCTCACAATCTTCCCCTTTGCTCCCTTGCTAATCATCTTAATTTGATACCTTCCAGTCACTGACCCACCAACCAGAGGAAGTATTTCTCCCTGTCTACTCTATCAAAGCCCCTCGTAATTTTAAAGACCTTTTCCTACTCCACACGCCTAATATTAATCCCTACAAAAAACAAAACAATAATAAATTGGTCATTTTCAATCCATGACTGTTTGTGGGACATTGCTGTGCGCAATTGGCTGCCGCGTTCGCCCACAAATATACAGTCAATTCACTTTACAGTACATTCTGTGAAGCGCTTTGGGACGTCTAGAGGACGTGAAAAGCGCTATATCAAATGCAAGGATTATTATTTTATTATTATCAGATCTCCCCTCATCCTTTTCTGTTCCAATGAAAATACATCCAATTCCTCTCGTCTCTACACATATATCAAAGCACTCATCCTTGTTATCATCCTAGTAAATCTCTCTATGGTTCTGACTTTCCTAAATATCTTGCAGCAAATTCACTAAATCCTCCACAAGTGATGCCAAATATCCTGTTAGAATATATACACAGCAAACAATTGAAAGGAAAAAGTAGCTAAAGCAAAAATGACCTCAACCAAAATATTTTAAACTTTCTAAAAGATAAGAAAATTGGCAAATAGCCTACAGTATTGATTTTTCATGTTTATAGAGTTCACTGAGGTTAATAACTTTCATCATGTATTTAGCAGTAGGATTTCAATGTTTTAAAACCAGCTAACATTACATTGGAGTGAGAGAATTTTAGCAAATAATAGGACAGCGTGTTTAAATACACTCCTGTTTGTTCACCAGTTTGGAAACTATTCGTGTAAACTGTTCATGACCTCCAATTCACTTCATCTATAAAGAACACTTTGGATGAACTAACGAAAATGAAGAGGCTTCATATCATGTAAAGTTATTATATGTGAACCAGGGGATGTTCTCATCAGCCCTTTTCACCAGACTTCCACTTTAAGTATACAGTGTTTTACATTTTGAAAACAATTTGTTGTCAGTCATGAAGTCAATGCACGAAATTCAGATTTGATGGAAGTAATGTTTAAATGAACTGACAGCAATAATCATAAAGCAGAAATATAATATACCTAAGACAAACAGCACTGTCAACTGCACCCTATGATATCATGAACAGATGGAAAATGTAGTCATTAATAATTGACAAAAAAACGTTCCTGTGAAAAAAAACACTCCCACCCTATGCTTCATGCTTCATTTGTATACTGCATATATGAGTACAAGTAAGAAAACACAAATGATCTTGTACAGAACTTTTCATGAACATTTTATCATGACATGAAATGTTTTCACAAATTATGTTTAATGTCAAGCATAGTATACTTTGTTGATGTAACTGGAGTCCAAATTGTCTGTTGTCTTCTACAGGGAATCTTTGATATCAGATTGGCTTAGTTGAGAGTCGCATCTGAGTCAGAAGGTTAGCCACAGTGAAGTTCCTGTGAGATGGCGTTCCATACTCCAGATAACTGGAAATAGTTGCTATTTGTGGCTCAGAATCGTTATTAAAGAATCAAGCAAGAAAAAATAGCAAATTAGACTAATCAACAACAAAAACAACAACTTGGATTTATATAGCGCCCTCCACGCCGGACGGTGTCTCAGAGCGCTTCACAGAAAATGGATCCCGGAACCGAGCCGGGGGAGGGGGGGGGGAAGGTGACCAAAGGCGCAGTCGAAAAGAAAGGTCTTCAGCAGACCACACTGTTAAGCACTTTTTTTTCTTTTATTCTTACTGTCCAAAACCTAGAGGCACCAAATGGTGGATATGACAGTGAAGAAGTTTCAAGACTACTGCCAAGTTTATGTTTCTTTTCACGATGCTTCCTGGCATGTAAAAAAATAAATACTGATTTGATGGAATATCTCTTGAGATAATTCGATTTCTGGATTTCTCAGTATCTGCAGAGTTTATAACCATCCGACATGATAACTATTGCTGTGCAACAGCTGTTACCAGAAGAGAATCTGAGGTAGTTTTTTATTTAAGACCAAACGATTGCTTGGGGTTGAATACCCCTCTGACCTCTGGAGAATAGTTTCTCCCATCTCTTTCATTTCAGCTCTTTCCACACTATCATGGTTTAAACAATGAGAAGGTATTTCACTTTTAAATTCTAACCTTTAGAATGACTTTTAAGGAATCCGGTACTTTTAAATTTATTTATTTTGTTTAATAATTCTTTTTCAGACATTATCTGGCAAAGGAACACAGAATCGCTGCTCAACCCAAGCCTGAAATCTAATTTTCCTGCTCGTTCAGAGGCTTCGAGCCTCAATTGGACAATTCAGACATTGCCAGGGAGATCCCAGGGTTCTTCACCAGATACTAAAATAATTGATTAAAAGCTGGTCTAGAATTTAAAACTGAAATGTTGTCACTTCATTTTGACTAAGATGGAATAACACACGCTACAATACTGGGGGAGTGCTCATTGTTAGAGGTGCCATCTGTTGGGTGAGGGGTTAAACTGTCCTGTCTTCCCATTCAGGTGGACATTAAAGATGCCATGACAAAAGTTAGGAATTTTTTCCCGATGACTTGGTCAACAATCCCTCAAATAAAA